ATATATATATATAATTGATGAGTAGTATTTTTAAAAAAACCTAATTGACTATAAGGCTCCAAAAAATTATAATCAACTAAAATTATTAATTAAAAAATAGAAAAAAATAATATTAAATTATATTTAAATAATGTTTTAATATAAATAATAAGATTTAAATCTCGCTCTAACCCTTAACATCTTACGGCTTAATGACTACGATTGTCAAAACGACTTTTTGTCTGCGAACTGTTTGTGTTCGGCTCTCTAAGCCAACAAGCAAACACAAACACATTTTTTTTGTTCAAAGTATAAACGAGTCGTACACAAACAGTGGTATTTTTTAACGAGCCATACACGAGCTCAGCCTGGGCTCACTTGTGTTTGGATCATTTACACCCCTTGCCGCAACTACTTGTTGTCGTACGTTCTAGCAGGCGGACACCACTCCGACTCCCTCCAGCGCCACAATCACCTGCAACCAGCCACCTTCTAGTACTACTGCAGCTCCTTTTTTTCCCTACCAGGACCTGCAACCCTCTAGTGTTGTTTATGTGTTTTTTTTGCTATTTTATTCTTATTTTGAGGAGTCGTCGTTGTCATTTGACCGTTTGCATGTTTTATATTGTTTTAGTTGAGGAGTCACCGTTGTAACTTTTGAATTAAATAATATATATCCTTCATTTGGTCGTGTTTTGGGTTATCTTTAGTATCAGGGCCTATGTTCAGCATCACTATATTTTTTTATGGACACAAAAATCGTGCTTGCTAACTTTGTAATGTATATCAAGTGACTAGTTCTTATAGATTTAGTGTTTAGAAAATGATCGTTCGAACTTTAAGCTAGTCTACATTTTTCTTATTCGATAACGGGAAATGGCAAATGGATTATTGACGTGTTGTTTTTGTGAATTTGGAATATTTAAGTTACGTTATTTTACTCCTTATGTTCAAATTCATTATATTTCTTTTCAGATTGCAGCTATTTCAGAGCTATCTTCTGAGAGAACAAATGAATCTCCTGACTCGGCTTCAAGAACTAATTTTGATCCTGGATGGAAATCCTTTGACATGAAGGCTGTAGTTTCTGCGACGGAGGATCTTTTATGCTTTGTTTTATCTGTGAAAGGTCAAAGGGTCCGGGTTTTTCTCCTTCGAGACATTATTAAAGTTGCGGATGCCTTTCTTCAAGAGGAAACTTTATCATGCAAAGATGTGACTCAGGAAACAACAAAGTCCAGTCTGGAGGTTTGTGACATCTTGGTTTATTAATTTGTTTATGAAATTTCTGAAGTGATTTAAGGGAAATTTTGCATACATGGCACACTATTCTTATGTATTTATCTATCTCACAGCTCAACTTTCATATTTTTTTTACGTGGCACTTCGGTGACTAAAACCTAATGCATGAAAAGGTTGATTTCACTTTTTAAAGTTGGTAATAGTGTTATTTTTAATGTGGTATTTGAGTACTTTGTGTGTAAATACGAAAGTTTAGTTGTGAGATATGTAAACACATTAGATTATGGAGGCTGTATTTCATGTGTACAACTTGATCACTGTCCTTAAATATAACCTTTTTTTTCTAGCATTAAATTAATTAAAAGCAATCAGTTCTCATCTGTATCATCATGAAAAGGATATTAAAATTCTGATGTTTGCACAGATTAACCTTTGTTTTTTTCTAGTTACCAAGAGATTTTCTTGGTGAAAATTTTTGTGATTTATTCTACCTTGGAGATTTATTCTACCATCATATCCGCATATCCTCAAATCTTTTCTGGCTTGATGTTATATGCTTTGTATGTAGTGTTCAGTCAATGTTCACTTTTTCGGTTATGACATCTACATTGAACACACAATACATTGAAGATTTCGCATTAATTTCACTTGTAACCCTAGTGAGGCTAAAATTATGAAATATTTTTTTGTGCTGCTCCTTTATGGAATCAGTAGGTTCGTTTAAGTATGAGAAGAGAGAGAGAGAATATTTAAGATGAAAAGTAAAATAGAAAAAATTAATCGAATTAGGTTAAAAGTGAAAACCAAATAAAGGTGAATTTTTTAATTTAGATAATTTATTAAATGTGAAATTTAAAAAAGAAAAATTTTGACGGGTAAAATAAATAAAATTACAAAGAGGGCTATAGGTTATTCATAAAAAGTATAGTGCGTCTGCATTGAAGATTCTGTATAGCTGTAAAGCTTTAGGTCCATATAAACAATCTATTCAGAGTTGGAAAGCTGTGAAAAATATCAAGTAGTATGTTTAATAAATGTTTTATGAAAATTCTGAATATTAAGACGATGATAAGCAATTTGTTAAAACAAAATTTTGGTATTTATATTTAAGAATAAATAAGATATTAATAATGTGAGTTATAAGAGAACTTTAATGCATGGTTTTTTTTTTTTAATGAAGTTATGAGAAGGGATGCTATAGACTAAAAGTTGTGAGAATATTTCAATAGCAAATCATGAATTTGCATTATTGTCAGAAAACGAGTACTATACCTCCATTTTTGAGCTTATTTCGAATTAATGAAACGGTACAAAGAGCTTTATATATTTTATATAATTTTATTTATTAATCTTGAGAAAGCATAGGGAAATCCTTGGTATTGAGGTGAGAAGCTATATCTAGATACATTGAAGTTGTTATTCATGCCATTTATGTTAGAGAAGTAACTAGCAGTAGTTGTAGAATTATTAAAGAGTGCTGATCACATTGATGTCTATAATTTCAAGTTGTTCGACTAAATTAAATGTGCATCATGTATTTGTTAGTGGTGTTCTAATTGATCCATTCCATGTTGAGCAAGGCTTGTAATGATTTGTTGATCAAAATCGTTAAGTGGTTAAGTAATTTGTTTTTGTGATCCTTGCAATGCTTTCATGATTAATTTCATGATTGCTACATGAAACTGTAGATAGTGGAATCGAATGAGATGTATTGTGGATTCTATAAAGCGATGGCATTGTTTGAATAAACTGCATGCCATGCAAAGATGTGTGAAGATATTGTGTTCTAACTATATTATTATATGCAAAATATTAATTATTATTTGCAAACAAAAAATGAAAATATACACAAAAATAAATACGAATAACATGTCTTGAAATTCAGTATAATAGTTTACATTGATATATTGTGAAACATACAATACTTGACAAGAGAAGTCTGCAGAGTGTAGTGAATAAACTAAAAACTATAGTTTTTCAATGATTTATGTTATAGGCTTAGTAATAAGGAATGATAAAAGGAGATATATAGAATAACTAAGATAAAAGATGAGAGATCTAGAGGTTTTGATCTGGTTAGATGTTATATAAACAATGATAAGATGGGAATGGTTCTTTGAAAAATTACCTATTAAGGGATTCAAGGAAGGACTTATTTTGAATGAGCATATGAATAATATACTCAAGTATATTATATATTGATGAAAAAAGTGAAGCGGAGTTAGCTTGAAGATGGTGCAGAAGATTAAGCTTTACCTCCAAATGAGCTGCTTAATAAGAGTTAGAGATTTATGAGAGATGTTTTAATAACTTGCTTGGTAAATCTTTTAAACTAAATTCAAAGGAATGAGAGGATGTGACACTGTTCTAGGGTCGTAGAAATTGTATGCAGATCAAAATAAGTGTTGGGAATGTTTGGAGACTGAAACTGTGGAAAAGATCTGAGAATCAGTCTGTATAGGGGGAAAAGGTTCTTATGGTTTTTGTCTAACAGGAAAGACTGCCATGAAACATCAATCAGTGGCACTTTCGATGAGATATGCATGACAGGGAGAATCCACCTGTAGTTCTCTTCAAGATACAGCTTTACAGTTTTAAGGAAAAATTGCGCAACTCCCTGAGAAGCAGAAAACAGAGAAAGAATCACCAAAATAACATAAATCAGAGAAAAATTATCTCAAAACCAGAGCAAAATTATCTCATTTCCCATAATATATTTTTACAAAGACAAAAATATAATTATAATTAAAAATAATGAAAAGTGGGGTCCCAGATAATTGTAATAGTTAATAGTGAGAAATGTCCCGCTGGTGCTCTCTTCATACGGCAAATGCCCCTAGGCGAGGATGCTTCTGCATCACTCCCCCTGAATAAGAGGGGTTTTGTTTTCTTCTCTGATAGCTTCTAGATTCTCACAGTATGAAGACAAACCAATAATGTTAAAGGTAGCATAAATATTAGTCTCTTATTAAATTAGTATTGTATGCATTGTTATTGATATTCTTAACAATCTTGGATAGACTGTCAATTTAGCCTTAAGCTTCCAAATGACCCTACAGAAATCTCTCATTCTTCAATCTGATTCACACCATTTACCTTATTTGAATATCATAATTTTCTTTGACTTATTAGCTTAGTTTTAATTCTTAATCTTCTGTTTGGTAATTTCTATCTTTACCTGCGCATCTAAGTTTTGAATCTCTCTAACTCGAACCTCTGCATCAGTACTAAGCTTCGTAGCTGAAAGTATTGACACTAACTCAATAATGTCAAAGAGTTCCGTCGATACATAATTTCTAAGGAATTGTGACCAATGAACTGACTAGTAAATTGATTTTAGATAAACTCGACTTGAGAAGCATCAAATCTCATTGTTTAATGCTCTTCCCACAAAACATCTAAGGAAAATTCTCAATTTGTGATTACCACTTTTGTCTATCCATCTATCTGTGAGTTTGTCTTCTTTTAATTGAACTGAAATTTTGTTCCCAATTTATCCAACAAATTTTTTCATAAACTGCTCAAAATTTCATAGCCATGTCTGAGATGATGGTTTTGGGTACGCCATGAAGATGTAATATTTTTTTAAAATATAAATGTACAATATGTGAAGCATTTTTCTTCTATCATGATAGTTCGGGATACCCCATGAGGATGCACTATTTTGTTGAATATAAATATACAATATGTGAAGTATTCATCTTCTTGTGGTAAGATAAAATATGTCATTTTGAAGAAGCAATCTATCTCTACCATAACTGAGTCCATACTTCACTGTGTTTGGGACAAACCCACCACAAAGCCAATGCTCACATCTAACAAGGGGTATCCTTGGGTTCTAACCAAATGACATACCCTACACTGCGTAGCATGTCTCTCCACATCTTGTATCAACCTGGACCAATAAAAAATATTCTTCATTAAAGAGAGTGTCTCATTCCTCTCAAAAGGTCATGTAATCCCTCTATTGCGGCACTTCTGCAAGATACTGTCCTTGAATGAACTACCAAGAAGGCACAATCTATTCTTTTGGAATAAATAATAATCTGATATGTGGAACTAAAATAATTCTAAATCTCTTGAAAATACACCTTTTTTACATCATAAATATTTTCGAGCTATTCTAGAATTATATTTTTATTCAATTTGCTTATTTAACCGAATTTTTTCTTTCTATTGTCAGAGAATTGATTTGATCTCGAGGATTTGGCTCGGCTTACAATCTTTCGGGCTAGCCGTGAGTCTGGCACCTTCGCTTTGGGCTGCTCTGTTGATTCAAATGTTATTGAAACCTCAGTTTCACATATTTCTTCTGGACATCCTTACAGCAGTTGTGAGTCATTACAAGCATAGGCTACCTGAATCATTTTGGCTTCGTATATCCAGAATTCTTCATCATTTGGAAGAGGAGTGTGTTTTAAGACAATAATTTAGTCCACAATAATAAAATTGAATTTATAGAATGCGATGAAACAAATTTACAAATTTACAAGATTTTGCTTTAGGGGGGAATAATGTAATACTAAATAGCTTCTTTGATTCTTAGTTATATATATATATATATATACATATATATATATATATATTTAAATGTCCGAAATCTGTATTCCACTTTGTTCAAGTTAAAAAAGTGAATTTTTTTATGTAATGTGAGATATTTTGGTGTTATAAATGTAAAAAGGTAAATTTTAGGTGTTAGATATGTAAATACATAGGAATTGGGCGGTATGTATGTAAATGCCCGAAAAATCTTTGTTTAAAACATACTAATAAATAAAATCAATATTTAATCAGTATTCTCTGTTCCTTAACGCTGATTTTATTTTTATTTTTATTTTATTTTCTAAGGGAATATATTAACTCGTATGTTATTTGTTTTATTTTAATTCTGTAAATTTTTTTTTGAGATAAATGGAATATAATTAAATGAATCAATCATATATTATGCTGTTCAAAGACACATTTAGTCATTATATCTAACATGCAAATCTTATATTTATTTATATGATATTTTAATATTAAGTAGCTATTTTGAGCTTATTTTCTTAACAAAAAAAAATGAAATGGTTAGATAATATTAGTGTTGAATCTTTTCAGGATGTAAAGCCTCGTAATATTTGTGGGTTCACAGGGAGAGGAGCTCTTATTGCGTGTGGACGGCGCATGCATCTCGCGTGCGCCATCCAATGAAATTTAGAAAAAAAAAATAATAATAATAAAGTGGGTTCATTGACATACATTTTTTTGATAAATGAAAAGTTTTTATTGGTCCATCGCACACATCTCTGCGTGCGGTGGGCGGACGCAATAATTTTATCAGGGAGAGAGACCTGTATAAGGAAAGTGCGGAAGGAGAATAGACGTGTGCTCCAAACCTATGTTATGTTAAGTATCCAAGGAGAGTGAGAGTGAGAGTGAGAGTGAGAGAGAGAGGGAGCAAGGAATTTAGAGAAGGTTATGATGTGATTTTCAAGAAAAGCTTGGAAAAAAGGGGTTTTCTCTGGATCCCCTCTCTTTATACTTGTTTTCCCGGAAAATCATTAAAATATGAGTCGTCGAGCTTTAAAATTAGCTTATGTTATCTTAAAAAAAAAGATAGAAAATTTGAATGTCAGGATGTCAATAAATGAGAATGTGACATATGTTCATTTTTACTGTTAATCTTGACTTTTACGTTCTGTCAATTTCAAGGATCACTGGTGGACAAACTTGACAAAATAAGTTGAATTGATCAATTCGCCAAATGACCTCGGCCGATTAGTTCGATGGACTAGTTAGACAGGTCATCTCAACAGTTGGTACAAGACAACTTGCACATCAGTGAGTGAGGCCAGCATATCATCTCAGCAAATTATTACCGTGATGATTTGTATCTTCTGAGCATATGGGCTTATCAGGCCCATTGGATGCACAATTTAGGCTTGCAAAAAGTTTACAGGCCCATTGGATGCACAATTTAGGCTTGCAAAAAAGTTTACTTTTGATATATAGTTAGGCTCATTATTAATACAACATAGAAAAATAAACACATTGGTAATGTTATATTTTTAGATTTATTAATTAATTAGTGTATAATTAGGATTATTAGCCCAGATATACTACACTTAATATAACTATTATATAAACAAATACTAAATACCTAATGGGATTACAATTAAAAATTTTACATATATGCCACACAATTCTTATGCATTTACATTCCTTATTTTTATCACTTCCATCCTATCAATTTATGCAATAAAATAATTTTCAAAGTAAACAATATTGAAATTTTGCACATAAAGTTAAAAATTTGAGTGACGTGTCAACTTTACAGATCAGATATATAAATATAAATAAAATTCATGTTATTTATATAAAAGCTCCGCTGATCTCGGTTTCCCTTTCCATTTTCTTCTAGTAAGTTCCACATCGCCGGCGAAGAGGTCTGTTAAGTATGGCGACGGCTGTGGTCCGACGGCTCTGCAAGGCGGTCGTCTGCATTACCGCCGTGGTGCTCTACTCGTCGCCGGTAATCTCTGGAGCCGTCAGTAAGCAAACTTTCGTGAAGAAGACCGTCGCCGCCCATGAAATCGTTATTTTCTCCAAGTCCTACTGCCCGTAAATTCCCTTTCGCCCTCATTCCTTTAGCTTGATTTTATTATTATTATTGTTTTAATTTGGTTTTGGATTTTATTGTGCCATGATGTATTCGAGTTATTGCTAGTGGTGATTTGGGGTAATATCTAACCTATCGTTCGCGATCTTTCGATTTTGAGGTTGAGAGGGAATGCCTGCAATTGAAATTCGGGCATCGGATAGCGTAATGGTAAATTGATGAATGTTAAGGGCTGTTTGTTTTGCTTAACTTGGATTTAGTGAATCATGTAGATCTGGATTTGGTAAATCTTGACAGGATTAGAACCAGAAAACTTCATATTCTCATAACATAAAAGAAGAGTTGGAAGAAGAGAAAGAATGAAGAAAACATGGCGGCTGGGAAAAATTCCTCAATGAGTTTTAGGATTCATTGCTCCGGAAGTTAGAATTGTAACTATGCAAATAGATGCATAGGATGTAAGCAGCTCAATGGGCGAATTACGTCCAAGGAATTATTTTAGGCAGAACTTGTTATTTCATCCATAGAATCATCCACTTCCAATTGAAGGATATTGTTACTTTAACTAATGAAATGAACGGTCCAATTGTATTAGCTTTGTATCTTTAGCAATAATTGATTGATATTCTCCACTGATTCTGATGTGGGCTATAGCTGGCTAATCCGCAACAATCAATTTATTAATTTTTTACAATTATTAGAGAATCTTATTTACACATTTAAATGAGCACTTCACAATTTAATATCATTTCACTCTTATATGGTTTTTGATAATATTAGGTATTGTCGGCGGGCAAAGTCTGTTTTCAGTGAATTGAAAAAGGCGCCATATGTCGTGGAGCTTGATCAAAGAGGTGTGTTTCTTGTCCTGCTTTTTTTTCCCTGAGATATTTGAAATTGTGAAATTAATTGATGATTATACAAAATGTTTGACATCTTACACTCACCATTATTTTGGTTATGAAAAAATCCTTGAGGATTACAAGTGGGACTCATTAATGTTGGTAGCCATGGTAATTAGGAAATCATTTAGCTTGATTGTTGAATTGCATAGTTGTGGAAATAAGCAAACATTAAGCTCACTTTTTTCATGGCTTTCTTATTTCCATATTATAATATCTAGACAGGAGAGCCTTCTAAATTAGAAATTATAAGACCAGAATCCTCAATGTGTCCTAGTACATCTGTGCACAACTTTTTCTGATTTTGATATCAGGCTAGGAGTAGTGTGCGTTGAAATTGGCAGGTCTGCCTGAGAAGTTGAAACTCATTATCAGTGAATCAGTAAATTAATTTGATGTATTTCCTTCCTAATTCTCTATTTCAATGAATATATTTTTTGTTTTTGTACTCTTTCTATTAATTAAGGCAAGTCAAGTATATTCTAAGCTTAATTATTGAAAACTTAATAGTTTAACCAAGCTAAGTCCAATCCCTGGCCTGCTCAGCTCAGCTTGGCTCAATTACAACTTTAGTTGCTACCCTGTTTCACATGAATTTTTCTTTCTCCCAATTGTTGACTCTTTTTTTCTCTAAGCCCTCTCTCTTTTGAGCATTTTGAAAATCCCAAAAATTTTGTTAAGTCTCTCTTATAGGAACACACACACACACACACTCACATCACATGCATACGTACGTACATACATACACACATACATATCTCTTAACATATTATTCATATGCTCTCTCATAGTAATTTTTTATCCAATCCTCATGGGAATTCACAAATCAGGAGAGAAACTCTATACCCTTTTTCTCTTTTCTAATTTTTTATCTTCCATTCCCTCACATCAAAAGACAGAAACTGAACAAATTCAAAGAACGGGGAAGAAGAAAATCAAGTAGATCTGCATCAAGAACTCATCATCGAATAAGATCTAGATTATTCTTATTGTCTAAGATGTTCAACTTATTCTTTGCAAATCATTTTAAATAATTTATATCCATGTAATCTTAGGCCCACTCATTTCTGTTTTATAATCTTCCAACGCTAATGGAAAATGGTAAATCAGAAAGGCAACACCAAATATTTGAGATAAGGTTGATGAGATGATGGTGATGATCCCCCTTCATCATCAAATTTGCATCAAATCAATTTTCTACATCAATTAAAAATAGAGCCCAATTTCCCAAAGTTAATGTTATTTGGCCCTAGTTTTAATGCTCGCCCAAGCCCTAAAATAGTTTAGGCCATATGAATTTGTCATTTATTAATTTTCATGAATTGCATTGTGCATCTTTGGGCCTCTTGTACTCCTTATGCTCATGCACTTTAGGAGAAATAAACTTATTGGCCAATAGAATTAATTTTGTAAATTAATTGTATTAACCAACTCCTTAAACTAACTAACACAGTAATTAATAACCCATAATTTAGCCATTCTACTTTCCTCATCAACCTTGTCTTCTACGAGCTCGTGGGCAATCCTGTCTTGCTCTGTGCTTATGCACGAAATGCACATGTGCCTCTTGCATTTTTTAACATTCGCGACCCTTCATTTTGCTCTTTTTTGTGATCCTGTCTTCCACGCGCTCAGGAAATGCTCTTGTCTGTGTCGACTTGTTTTCGTGGGTGAGGCATATCCTCACTTCTTGGGCTCCATTGCTCTCACACTGTTAATGTATGTTGACTCATTGTCTAGGTTGCAGCTCTGTTAAACCACTTTTTTCCACTTTTCTTTGACTCTCACATTTCCTTGTTCAAAATATGTTATCCATGTCTCTATTTGGCTACACTTGTCAATTCTCTCTCTCTTCAATCCCATCTCATTCTCCTTTTTCTACCTCTATAGTTGCACTGAACGCTTCAATTGAATTTCTAATTCAATAAGTCATTGTCACTCATTTTGATGGCTAATGTAGCAAACGGATAATGCACCCCTTGTCGCTCAGTCTATTCACTCTATTCACTCTATTCACTCCATTCGATACTTTGCAAAAGTGGTTGGTGGGTGCATTGTTCTAGATTATGTCTTTTCATCTAGACACTTCCCTTTATCTTTTCAACAAGATTTAGGTCGACCTCATATACAGAGCCATTTATATTTTAAGGCAAACATGCATTCATTTCATCTAAAAATGGGATCCATGAACTTGTTTATCCTCCCTTTTTTTTTTTAATTTTTGGTACATTCTCTATGGATTATTCCAACTTATTGAGTTTATTGATGTGTGAGTAGTCTATTGAGTTTATTGACCCTCATCTCTTTATAATAAGGTTTTCTTTAAAATCAAACTACACCGGACTTTTTTCCCATCAATCATGCTATAATAATGACTTTTTAATTCGAATGCTTAAAGGCTCTCTCCATTTTTAATCTTCCAGGAACCATAGTCTGTTTGGATTGCATTTTCTCGGCTTTACTTACATTATTAGACTATTCCACTTATAAATTATTAGAAGTGAACGTTGTTATTGTTCACCTTTTTAGACCTTTTATGGCTAAGGTTTCGGATGAAAATGATGTGTTTTTGTTTGAAAGGAATGTATGAATTGGTTCGTCATATTGTGGTATTGGCAGAAAATAAAATTTGAATGCATCTCTGCATATTGCTTTTTCTGCAAAATCTTTAGGCGCAATTACTTTGATATTTCAAGGCTCATACGGATTTGATGAAACTATGCATCAGGCACATGAGGTGCAGTTAAATTTTATAATCCTTTCCTCCATCAGCACGGCTGTTGCTCCAATGTTAGACCATGTTTGCACTCAGAATTTCAAAACCGATACCACACTTTCCTTGGGACTTGGATCCTATTTTGCCTGTCCCTGCTAATCCATGAAATTGGTCACTACATCAACTGCATGCAACAACAATGATATTGATCCTCTTACTCTTGATAGGCCTCATCTCGCTAAGATTTGTGAATTTATAGATTATCATAATTGTAAATAGCTTCATGATTCATATGGGATCATTTGGAGCATTCAGAGTATTGGCGCACTGATAAATAGGAGGTTTCAAATCTTATTTGTTAAATGGGACAAGAATAAGAATAAAAATCGTCATTGCCCCATGTTCTGCTGCCTTGAAGCAGTGCTTCTCAAATTAGTGTTTTTGTTGTGTTTTTACTCTGAATGATCTTTCATCTTTGGATTTCTGGATAACTTTATTGTGGCATCTGTATTATCCATTTTTCTCTAACAATTTTTATAATTATCGTTATTATACTCGTGCCATCTTTTAGTTATTAAATCATGATTTATAAAAACCATCTTTCTTATTACCAATACATCTTTAAAGCAAAGAAAATTGACTTGTGTAAGATGCATAAACTATGCTTGGGACGTACGTTACAAACATAGAATTGCTTGCGGGATTGTAAAATTATTCAAACTCACGTTTGAATTGATATTGTGAACTTATTAACTTGTTTCATCTGATAAGGATCTTTGGTTGCAACATTATGATGAATAGGGTATGGATTTAAAGGCAAAATATGTTCCTTGTCAATATAGCCTCGTCATATTTTACAATATTAGGATAACTGTCGTATGATGAATGCGATGATTATTGTCTGCCTAGTGCAACTATAATATGTAGTTAGGGATCAAATTATTATTTTGACTTTAACCCATTTTTATTGCACATATTTATTAATATTGTAGTTCAAAAAGTCATATGGTTTAGGATTTCCTTTCTTTAGATTTGGACTACACATGTGATTTTAGGGATGAAGTTATGAAGTGGGTGTGAACGCTGAGGGAGATGGTGAATTGGAAGTCCCTGATGATGGAGTTCCAACTGGAGAATAGGAAGGTGATGCTGAGAGGAAATGCTAGTTTATGCAAAACTATGGTGTTGCTCAAAGCTATGTTCAAGTCGATAAGGGAAGCAAGATTGGGCTACTTGGTGGAGTTGCAGAGCATTGGGAGATTCGAGATTCAGAGTTGTCAGAGTTTCGTGAAGGGGTCCAACAATTTCTACAGCAGTTTACAGATGTCTTCCAACAGCCAAGAGAGTTACCTCCCCCGAGGGAGCATGAACACACTATTACCTTGAAAGAGGATGCTTCCTCCATCAGCGTTGAACCATACGAGTATCCCCAGGTTCAAAATGATGAGATAGAGAAGTTGATTTGAGAGATGCTCAAGGTTGGGATTATCAAGCCTAGTGTGAGTCATTTTTCTAATCATGTCCTTTTGGTGAAGAAAAAAGATGTTAGTTGGAGATTCTATGTGGACTACCGGGTTTTGAGCAAGGAAATGGTGTTGAACAAGTTTTCTATTCCAGTGATTGATGAGTTACTAGATGAGCTTTATAAAGCAGTCATTTTCTTAAAAATTGATCTTAAGTCAGGATACCACTAGATCATGATGAATCTGACGGATGTGCACAAGACAGTGTTCAAGGCACATGAAGGGCTTTATGAGTTCTTAGTGATGTTGTTTGGTTTCACTAACGCCCGACGACATTTCAGTCTCTTATGAAATTTCAACCTAACCTCCGAAAATTTGTCCTGACTTTCTTTGATGGCATTTTGATCTATAATTGTGCAGAGAGAGCATGTGGGGTGGAGTATAGTCCTAGAGACGTTGAGGGAGCATCAATTGTATGTTAACTTGAAGAAATATTCTTTGCATAGTTGTAGTTGGAGTACGGAAGGCATGTGGTGACCAGAATGAGGGTAGTAAAGGATCAATCCAATATTGAGGTTGTGGTTGATTGGCCCTTACCAAGGAGTTTGAAGGAGTTGAGAGGATTCGTGGGTCTCATCGGATACTATGAGAAGTTTGTGAGAGGATATGACACGATATCATGATCACTAACAGAGTAGTTGAAGAAATACAATTTAAAATGTGGGTAAGCAGCCACACAGGCATTTAAAGATATGAAGGTATTAGCACTTTCAGATTTCAGTAAAACATTCGTGTTGGAGACTGATACGTCTAGATACAGATTGGGAGCGGTGATCATGCAGGATCAGCGGTCGATTGCCTACTTCGGTCAGGTTCTTACAGCGAAAGCAACACAAGTAGGTGGAGGAACCCCAATTGACGCCTCTATCGGTATCTTTAGTTATAGATTGGGAAGCCTTGAGACAGGTGAGCGAAAGAAATGAGGAGTTGAGAAAAATGAGAGTCGAGTTACTACAGGACCCGAACAATCATTCAGGATATGCATTAAGAGGACAGTTTTACTGGAGGCAAATTCATGCTACCCACGTAATCAGAGTATATTCCTAGATTATTACAAGAGTTCAATAGCAGAGCGATCGGGGGACTCTCAGAGATGCAGAAGACCTACAGTCGTCTGGCGACAGAGCTTTATTGGATAGGAAATGCGCAGAAAACTTGGAGGACATGTTAGCAAAATGGGATTTTGAGCCAGCGACACATACTTGACCACGACATCAGAAGGGTTACTACAACCATTAGCATTACCGAGGAAGGTTTGGGAAGAAGTGACGATGGATTTTATTGAGGGGTTGTCACGGTCAGCAGAGTTCACGGTGATCATGATGGTCATGAATCACCTAAGTATGCTTTCATTCCCTTACGATATTCCTACACGACGATCTCAGTTGCAGCTGTGTTTATTCAGGAAGTGGTCTGTTTTTACGGGATGTTTGAGTCGATTGGTATCGAATAGGTACAAGGTGTTCCTTAGCCACCTCTGGAGCACTGCATATCATTCCCAAACTGACAGGCAGACGGAGGTGGTCAAAAGGAGTGTGGAGACGTACATGCATTGTTTTGTATTTGATACACCGAAGCTATGGGCTAAGTGGGATTGCATGGACTGAATATTGTTATAAGACTTCGTACCATACCACAACAGAGACAACCTCTTTCAAGATATTGTATGAACGGGATTCACCTCACTTGATATATTATGGGCATAGTGTCACACCGGTATCCAACGTCAATCAGTACTTGGAGGAGGGGGCAGGACACTAACAAAACTCAATGGCTACTTGAAAGGTGCAATTTGAACCAGGTGACATGGTCTACTTGAAACTGAGGTCCTGTCGACAGAAAACATTGGCTAGGAGGAGAAGCGAAAAACTGTCACCACGATACTTTTGGGATTATGAGGTGATGACACGCATTGGGGCAGTGATCCACCGTTTAAAGTTACCACATTCGTCCTCACTACACCCGGTCTTCCATCTATCATAGCTACGACGTGCGATTGGAGATCATACACCCTTGTCTACACTACTGCCAACATTGACGGTGGACTTGGAAGTGCTTCTGGAGCTGCTAGAGGTAGAAGCAGTGCGCCAAGAAGTAGTGGAAGTAAATGAGGTATTGGTTAAGTGAAAAGGACTGCCAGATTATGAAGCAACATGGAGCCTTACAAGGTAATTAACAAGCAATTTTCATCCTTCCACCTTGAGGACAATGTATTGTTTTAGGAGGGGAGTAGTGTTACGCACGTTCCTGGACCGGTCGAAAGCCAAAGCGCCGGCTCGCCACAACAGCTGGCGGGTCGATTTTGTGAGAGAGAAGAAGCGGGGTGGTGCTCTATTGTGGCAAAAAAGGGCAGGGAGCAGGTGGGTCCACGAGATGATTAATTACATACTTAAGGAGGAGAAATTAAAGGAGGTTTGGAGGGAAAGTGAGAAAGGAAAGTTTTTAAATGTTGTGGGAGAATTGTATAAAGGAGGTGAACCTTTTATCTTAAAAATTCATTTTAGTGATCAAATTAACTCTAATTGATTTGAAATTTTTATGGGAAGCTTCTATAACATTAAATTACATTGTGAAATAGTATTTATGTCATTTACATTTATAATTACTCCAAATTAATTTTCTCTTTATTTTTAGGGTTGGTGATTATTTGATTTGTTTTCATCTATATATCGTGGTTTCCCTATTGTTGCTTGTTGATTTTGAGTCTGGAGCGTATCAGTTTGATCGTTATCATTATAACCATTGTTACTTTTGATAATCAAGTATATTTTGTTGAATATGAACATCATTTGTAGAGATCTTATTTTTTTACTCAATTTTCTTGAACTTTGAAGATTCGTCGGCTCGTGTGTTCCAGAAGTTTAAGCAGCTGTATGATTATTATTATAATGATCCATGTTCTATAAATGAGCCTGGGATGTTGTTAATCATTCATCTTTAATTAAGCCTGACCTTATGGATGCATACAAGATTATTTATATGAGATTAGGAATGAGCCTATTGCTGAGAGAGAGATATTTTATTATCTCTATTTTTTTGTTGCATAAATATATTAGTCTGATGTTAATGTTGAAGATTTTTTTCTCTAGATATACACATTTTTTCACTGGTTTCAAAATTATTACATGCTTTCTCTCAGGAAATTTAAGTTGAATGTGTTACTATAACACTTTCTTTCATGTTACTGTCAGATCTTCTTCTATGGTATTAATTAAACAAAGGAAGATTTACAGACATGCCACTCAATTCCTATGTATTTACGTATGTAACACCTAAACTGCAATTTCTACACACATACCACCTTTACTATGAATGACCTTAACCATGAATGAAAATGATGGGTGGTATAAATGTGTAAAACAAAATGATGGATAGTATTTTTTGATGTTTTATGAAAGAGTTGGGTGGTATGAATGTAAAAAACAAAATTCAGGTTTTAAATATGTAAATACAAAAGGAATTGTGTCGTATGTATGTAAATTTCCCATAAATAAAATGTACGATCCATGCAGATTTTTTTTAAGCTAGCCCCCTAGATTTTACTAATTTGTTTAGACTACTGCACATGAAAATGATGGATATAGAAATACATAAGAATTTAGTGCTGCGCATATAAGTTTCCCTATTTATTTCTAGCTGAAAATATGGTTGAAATGTGTGATGAAACTATATTTTTATTATTATTACTTTATTAATTTATATCATTTAACATTTATGATAGATGATGGTGGGGAAATCCAAGATGCATTGTCTACAATTGTTGGAAGACGAACTGTCCCTCAAGTCTTCATTAATGGAAAGCATTTGGGTGGCTCCGATGGTAAAATCAGCCCCCTTCTCATATTATTCTGATTAAGATTTTATTACTATAAATCATTATTTTTTTTTAATATAAATTTTATTTGATTTTTAATGTATTGCACACATCTCAAAGCAAATCTAATGCTGTTGTTTGGAATTATGGCAGACACAGTTGAAGCATATGATAGTGGTAAGCTTGCAAAGATTTTGGGTATCACCAGCAATATCAAAAATGATGATCTTTAATTCACAAACTGATCAAGACACTAGACACCAGGATGCACCGAGACGTGACCCGTGCTTCCTTAATTAAATCAACAGTGAAATCCTCATAATGACTTAACCTACAATAAAACCCAATGCATCCTCATAATGAGCTTAGATAAAGGAGTATTTGGAAAAAATATTACATCAAATCAAATGCATCAAGACTCAAATCACTGTCTGTCACGTGTACGATAATTTAATACACTAAGATAGGTCAGACTGTACATGTGACAGGCAGTGATTGAAGTCCTGATGCATTTTTGTATCAGAACTTCTGATGTAATATTTTCTCAGTATTTTGAGGTCTAGAAGGTTCTCAAGTAAAATATTATATGGGTGTTTGCATAAATACCACCCAACTCTTATGTATTTACATATTAACTATTAAATTTTATTTATTTATATTTATAACACTCAAATCTTCTGTATCATATTAAAGATATTATTATTTTAATTTTAAAGATATTAAAATTATGTGATATGTATGATTATTTTTCTTTTTTATCTTATGTTTTCCATGAAATAAATTGACATGCAGGACCTATTATTCAGCTATTAAAGGTAAATAATAGGATACTATAATCTTATGTGTTATTATATACAAGCAATATCATCTCGCTCTTTAAAAGTTAAAACGGTCGTATTTGGTCTTATTTTTTATTTGATGGAAGACTGCAGTGATATAAATATAAAATGTTAAATTATAATAATTAAATTTAAGTATTAGGTATATAAATATGGGAAGATTTGCATATATGACTTTATATGTACATGTTGAATGCCCATACTTCAAAATTTAAATGAATGCCTTTTACAAACGCAGGAAAGGGTGTGCTTCACTTTTTATTTTATTATGTGATATGAAAATTTTGGGTGATATGAATGTAAATTTTGCATGTTAGATATATAAATAGATAAGCTCTGACTCAATGGTGGGACCATCGGTTATTTTCCAATCCTAAATTTTTAGTAATTTTTTTAGTATCATATAATATATTTAAAAAAAAATTCTTAGATTAAATACATAATAATAAATTAATATTAACTATATTCGTAATTGAATGGTAATATTTATAATAATTTTAAAAAAATACGAGAAAAGTGTTTTAAGACTTGAAATATTTGTCATTCCCTAATGTTTTAAGACTTGAATCTCCTTAAATTCTAGTTTTATCACACTGGTTGGGGCATTTCAAAATACTAAAGTACATTATTACTATTTATATATGTATTTTAAATGGTGCATTTACATGAGTACTATCCAATGCCTATGTTTTATGGGGCATTTATATACTATTTCAAAGTATCTCCTTAAGCCACTTTAATTTTTTAAATTTATTGTCTTTGAGGCCACCTAATGGTCCCCAGTCTCTAACTATATATAGTTTGATGCAATCCATTAGAACCTTGTGTTTTTTTTTTGCATTGCACTTCCAACAGAACATTATTCATAGAAAAAATTATTTCATACGGACACCGCATGCAGAAATATATGTGATGTCCGCTATTCACCATTGATCACAACGAAAATGTATTTTAATAGGCCCATTTTTATTTTATTTTTTAAAACTGTAATCAACGGTGGAGATCAGACAACGCATACATTTCTGCATGTAGTGTCCGTACGAAATAATTTTTCCATTCGTAGGACATGTGCCGTCCATTGAGAAAAAATCAAAGGGGCTACTGCATATATAGCACTTGAAGCATCACTATTTATAAATATATCACCTTTCCATCAATTTTTGAAATTCTTCCTCAAACATCAAAAATCAAGATAAAAACTCAACCCATACTTTCCATCATGAATTGATAGTTCAAAAAATTATCATTAGTGCTAGCTTTATTAAAAGTAATATTTGAAGTGATATGAATGTAAAAATCAGGCTAAAAATTAATAAAAAAAATCTACAATACATTCTTAGCCTTTAAACAGAAAAAAGAGCTTAAAATAATGCTATTTCAACTTTAGAAATAATAGTATATGGTTCATGGGTCAAACCAGCCTCTTGATTACCCTATTTGCTAGGCTTCAATCATGCAATTTATTCATGCAACAAAAAATCCTCAAAATATCCCAAATTAAACTAAACTTCAAACGCAACTTCTATTTTCAAAATATAATGTTTTTTTTTTCCCCTACGGAATATTTTGCAGTTCAAATCCTGAAATAAATTCAATTTAAACATCCTCATTCAAGTCTCATCACTAACACTGCAGCGAATCAAAACAAGTTGCAACATTCGGCATTCAATGGTTTCAAGAGAACTCATATGTTATATAGCCAAATTTGAATAGAATAAACATTCGGGTTAATTACATACATAGCACCTGGAATATTGCAATTTACAAAATTTAGCATATTTTTTAATCACCAAACCTGTATGCCTTGATAAAAACAAAAAAAAAAGGGTCTCCTTGATAAAAACAAAAAAAAATGGGTCGAGTTTCATCATGAATTTTGATATTTGAGTGACAATTTGAAAAATGGATGAAAAAGGGTGCTAGATTTGTAAATAACAATGTTTCGGGTGCTATGTATGCAAACAGCTTAACTTTGTAGTCATTAAAAATATTTTAAGATGAGTGTAATATATATCGTAGTCCCACACATTTGAAACTAATTGCTATAAAATTATGCTAACTGAACAGAGTTATCTCTTGATTTTTGTATAGGCCCCTAACATCACCTGAAGGAAAAGTTCACTAAATTGATAGAACAGCTGTTCGGTTGCATGAATAGTTAAATCTGCTCCCCAACAAAAAAATATTGCAGAATTTGGAATTGCAGCAGAAAACAATAGTATAGCAGAACATATTCTACAACTCTAACTATGTAAATAAGCTCAGAGCTTTGAAAATATACGCTGTTATTTTGCAGAAACTGGAAGGTAGACGCCTTCTGCCGCCAACCAAACGTTGTCCGGTTTCTTTTCTCTGATGCCGCAAACCTTGAAGAGAAACAGAATATTGCTTAGAGATTATAAATCAAAAGGGTGGATTTGCACTCAAATTTCTTATATATTTGCATATCTAACATATTATATGTATGTTTACATCGGGTCAAAATATATGAGTTTATGAAAATGTCAAAATAATCCCCAACTCTTTAAAATTGAGGCTGAAATAGTCCTCTGTGGAGACTATTTCAGCCTATATTAGACATTTTATACAGATTTTGCAACTTAAATGATCCCCTGCAAAGAGTTTGGAGATTATTTTGATACTTCTCTAAAAAAAAATTTAATCCATTCTAAGTTAGTTTTAGTGACATTTTTTTACGTTATTTAAAAAATGGGATACATACAAACCATCCGAAACATTGATATTTACAAATCAACCACCCAAGTGATTTTTTTTGAGCTAGTGAACCTATGTTTTTACGCATGCCATGATCAAATTATTGAGAATTTGATAAAAATGAAAAATATGCGTTGAAGTTTTAACATGAATTTTGATATTCGAGTGAGAATTTGAAAAATGGATGAAAGTAAGTTGTTGATTTGTAAATAGCAAGTTTCAGGTAGTCTTTATGTAATTGACCCTTAAAACATAGGAAGTTATAGAAGATAAATAAATATATAAGAATTATAAGATATGCATGTAAATCTCTCGGAACCAAATACATATATAGAAAAATATAGAAGACTAAAACACGGGAAAAAATTGGAATGAATTATTTACCTCTTGCTGCCCTCCAGCAATTCTGGTATACTTCTTGTCATGGCTGTGTAAATAGCCCCCAGTATCAACATGTTTAAGTCTTATTCTTTGGTCTTGTCTCCATGTCTTCCCATTCCCTTCAATCTCAATCCTGGAGTTCAATTCCATGACAGAAAATAAGTCACTTGGATTCAGAACTCAGCATGGATGAGGAGAAAATAATAATAAGGGGCATTTACATACATACCACTCAATTCCTATGTATTTACATATACACCTTCACTTTACTTTTTTTTACATTCAAACCACGCAAACATTTCATATCACATTTTAAAAAATAAATATTTTAACTTTTAAAAAATGAAATACACCTTTTATGCATAGGTTTATGACTCCAAGATGTATATATATATATATATATATATATATATATATATATGTACAAAAGTGAAGTTTAGGTGCTAGATATGTATATACATAAGAATTAAGTGGCATTTATGTAAATCTTCCTGAATATAAATGATACCCACCGCCAGTAATCTCCAGTATCTGATTGACCATCACCTCCAAAACAGCTTACCTACAATATTTTTTTATTTTTCCATGAGAACATATAAAGCTTGGATCAGCCTAAAAACTCAAAACAGGAACTTGGAAGGGGAAAAAAGTGTAAATTTTTATTTACTTCAGAGTATATAAATAGATTAGTATAGAATTTGGAATTAGTTGGTGTGGGGTTATGAGTAGCTAGAATTTAAACTTCTAATGAAAACTTTGAGAAGAAAATTCAGCAAGCAGGTTATAGGAACAATATAAAGCACACTAATCTTTTCTATAATTCTGATCCAGTTTAAAATGATGCATAATTCTTTGTCATTTGGAACTAACATTGATGAATTAATATAGCTTTTTGGTACCTATGTGATTTTTGGTGAACAAGAAGGCTATCCAAGCATTGGGCCTATCAACCAAGACAAGGATACTTACAATGCATTAACCAATTCATTGGGTTAAGCTACTTTGGGTTAACCCACACATTTGGTTAAGCTGCTTGATCCACATTGGGTAACTCACATGAGATTCTACATTCAGGGTTACAACTTAAAACAAATAAGAAGACAAATTATAAGGCAATATAAGAAGCAAAAAAAATTTTAAAAAAGGGGGCATTTACATACATACCACAAGATTCTTATGTATTTACATGTGTCGCACCTAAACTTTCATATTTACATGCATAGCACTCAAATCTTTAATATCAAATCAAAAATTGCACTAGTGCCACTTTTTAAGAGTGAAATACACCTTTTAATGCATGGTCTAAAGCGCCAAAATATTATGTATGTAAATATCAAAGTTTAGATGTGACATATGTAAAGACATAAGAATTGTGTGCTACATATGTAGCTTTGCCAAAAATAATCAGGTCTGAACTGTTACATGTTTCAAAGAGAAAGCAACCAAAAAACTAGATTTGAATGCTGAAAAAAGGAGAGGCTTTGAACTTTCGTATTGAATTTTGTATTTACAGATATGCCTTCACACGTTAAAAACTTGCATTTCCTCGTGGCAATTTATGAGTGATATTTCTTGATATAACTTTATGAGGAAGATAATTCAGTTGAAGCTTCATTGGAAAACATAGAAAACGTAAATCTATACATAAATTACTGTGTATTCAGGGGAGCAAGAATTATTCATATTAATTAAGAAGATAAAACATTGTTTACACCCGTGCGCGCGCATGCGCGTTTTTTTTTTTTTTTTTG